GCAGGATGACCTACCCCGGCTCGTTAGGAAACTATGTAACTCGCTTGGGGCACTCAATTGCTCCTGGCTAAGTCGTAAGCAGGAAATAACAACCAATTAAGAAAAATACTTATTACTTTAATAGTGTTTTTTTCACGACTTCCCAAAAAAGAAGTCTATTGTGTTTAAGGTTAACGTATTTTGTAAATGAGTTTCTTTTATAGGCATATCGGATTTAAATGTACAGATAGTCTAATAATTGTAATATATCATTTGAAACCTTTCATCATCCCGAGTAACACTGGCTACACATATATTTTTAAATATTAATTATAGCGGATGTATGACGTCAATAAAAAAATATGAAAATATAATATTTCTTCAATTTTAATAATATAGGTGTCATATATATTGATGATTACATTAAAAAAATATATGCTTTGTATACATTTGATATTCGCTTAAAAGAAAGAAATAAAAATCAATAATATAAAATTTAAAAAACACGTCTGACGATATCGAACAAGAAATAAAAGAAACAAGTAGTATTATGGCTCGGTTAAATAAAATTCGAACTGCAGTCGTAGTACCTCTTAGATTACAAATGTTCCACAGAACGGTAAATCAAAAGTGATTATCTTTCAACTAGTTTCATACAATGAAAAAGTTCAAAATAACGTGCAACCTAAATGAGAAAAAATAAATATATCTCTAAGAATTCTTTCACAACTAATATGAGAATTCATAATTTTTTAAAATAAAATATATCAAACCTATTAATTTGCAAATAAATCATTTAAAACAATTTTTTTACCATCATCTGTCCTTATCTAACTCATTGCCGTACGCAATAAGATAGACAAGGACAGTACTTTGACTTTACGCCCCCTCTTAAGATTTATCTACCGTAGCGGTTGGAGGTGCTCGGAATTCCGAACTTTGCTATCTGGACAAAGATTTACGACTTCGGAACGATACGGATCCATGACAGAAAGTTTATAAAAATTCCACGGAGGTATTTTATCTGTAGGACGGTAGAATCGCAGCTAATTAGCGTGATAAATTATAAAGACGACACATTTTTATCAAAATTAAAAATAAAAGGCTGAAGAAGAGAGAATAGCGCGTGTTGTAAATGCACGAAGGATTCCATGATGCTGAATGTGAGCGTTCGTTTTATTTTTCAACTACATAGCTTTCGCCAGCGACTTTGCCGGCGTGGTCCCTATGGATATGTTTAGTTGGATAAAAAGTATCCTATTATCTAAGTCAGCTTATACTCTATCTGTATACTAAATTTCATTAAAATCCGTTCATTAGTTTCGGCATGATTGACGGACACACATCCAAACAAAGTAACTTTCACATTTATAAAATTAATAGGAATATTAATGTTAATGAAGACCCGTATATAAGTTTATCCTTAAAATAAAGGTTTAATTACTTAAAAAAACTAATAAGAAATTGTATTTCTATAAATTTAAATGAATAAATAAACTTGGTCCGAGTAAATTATAGCCTACAAGTATGTTGCGTTCCTACTCCCGTTCTTCTCGTAGGTGAAAGTTTTTTTTTAATCTGTCCAGTAGTTTCGAAGCATATCTATTTCTTGTCCCTCCATCTTCTTGTAAATCTTCTCCCTTAATAATATTATTTTAGATATTTATAGCGATACAACATATTTATAGCCTTTAAGGTGATGAAGGTTAGGAATATAATTAATACTTAATCTAATTAAGGCCCGAATTTGCTCAACAACAAAAGCTTTGACTATAATGTGATTTCATACATAGAACAAACATAGTTGAAGGGAAATTTTGATTATACCTAGATAAAATCTGGAGGCTTACCAGACTATTGTATAAGATTTAATAACTAGTACCTAACAGATAATATTGTACATAGGAAATTGAAATATGACATATTTTTTACGCCTTAGATTTCTTCAACGGAATGATAAAACAACTTATTTACTAGCAAGTAACGTAAATACAGTTTTTTTTTTTTTTAAATAATTAAATGTCTGCTTTAGAAAGGACCATGGTAATCTTAATATTTTTCTATAAACAAATTTAAAATATTTTCAATCAACAATGCTTTTAATTTATGTCATATTATACTAAGGCGTTTTTTATGTTATGAAAAAATGCCTTAGTATAATATTGGGATGCCAATGTAATTGGTGGAAGAATCTTTATAATGAAAACAAAAAATTTCGATAATAATATTATTTTATCGAACATCAATATTTATTCTATTTTTATCTCATTTATAAAACTTCTAATTAAAGTTGTTTTCGATAAAAATCTTCTGATGATTTCCTTTACTGGGCATTATGCACTCGTGGCTGCCGTCATTCAATATTTCATTTATTGATAAAATCATTTCATTCCAGTTATTGATAAAATCAAACGTATTCTTTAAGCAAAGAAAAATTAGGAACGACGCTACGAATTTCAAATTGATTTACGTAATAAAGATTTACGAGTTATATATACAAATATCACCCATATATATATATATATATATTGCACCCACTCCCTCACAGTTATATTACTTCTTTCATGATGTTACCTGGAAGAGATTGCTGTTTAACAGAAAATTAGCCGCCTTTTGTTTACTCCTTCTCTTCTTAATGTGTTGTTTTATTTTATTTATTGTAAACTGTATTATTCTGAGCGCAATAAAGCGTTTCTTGATTATAATTATTATTAAATAAATAAAATTTATTTTCTACATTCGACCGGAAATTCAACCTGGCACGTCAGAGATAGCGACACATTGAAAAGCGGCACGTGAGCCATATGGCCATGGAGGTAAATAAAATAAAATCAATTTATTTGACTTACAACCAATAGTAGTTTCAATATAAAAACAAAACAACATAAATAAAAATGTACGTTAAAATTGATTTACACACTTTAAAGTTATTGCCGACAAAATTACATATCATCATCATCATCATCATCAGCCCTTTTTACGTCCCCACTGCAGGGGCTCAGGCCTTCCTTATGGATGGCTAAGGAGTATGTCCAAGGTGACCAAAAAATTATTATCTCGAGCTACTCCGTGCTTCGGAAGGCACGTTAAGCCGTTGGTCCCGGCTGCATTTGCAGTCGTCAATACTCTCCAATCCGCATTGGGCCAGCGTGGAGGGTCATGGCCCATACTCCTTAGCCATCCAAATTACATATATTGTCCAACAATTGGGTCAAAAAGTTTTTTAATTTTATGTATGCACATTTAATCAATATAAAACTTAGCTAATAAATTTGCTAACCGTCTGGAAATCAATTAGAAGTACTTTCCCTTTGACAATGTATTTGACGACAAACCTATCCTATAACTCCGGCGCTACATCGTAACTGTAAAATGGAAATTTAAATGAAGACCACTTCACCAGTTAAAACTAACCAAACTGTGCTAAAGCGACAAACCCCAAATATCTGTATCGCAAAGCAGGGCTGTCTCTTGAATTTCGTCTCTTTTTAACCCACTTTAAAATCGAAGAGGTGGAAGTTTTATGTTAGATAGGTATATTTTTTTATTTGACAGCTTGTGAGATCACCGTTCCATTTTTTTTATGAAATCGATTTATGACTTTTGTTTTTACATCAAACTGGAAGCATTCTTCCAAATAACAAAAGAAATTGTTGATTTCCTTTGAATTTTCTTGTGTTAACATGCAAATTTTGAATATCATATAATAAAATTGTACTATACTAATAAGGACCACCGTTTTTACCGCTAAAATACTAAAAACTGTCTGATACAGCGTCAAATTACATTAATTTGTCCTTAAGGATCTGTCAGTGTGAAACTGTTATTGAGATATATGCTATATTTTTTTAACACTGCAGCCTACTGTCCACATAAATGATACATTAATATTAATACCATTGTTTAAACTGAAAATGAATTTGCGATATAGTTATTGAAACTTATAAAGACTAATAATATTTTTAAACTCACACGATTTGTATACATTATAATTATATGCAATCGGGTCTTGTTCGTGCATTTTTTAAAACAATTAATTTACCTCGACGTTTCGGCTACGTTACAGCAGCCGTGGTCACGAGGAGACTGGAGAACTGGCGGGTGTCGTCTTCTGATTTTAGTTGAGGGTAATCCGGTAATAATGTTTTTAACTGATTTTCAGATGTACCCTCCACTTGATTTTATTATACGTAAAGGTGGCGACACACTGCACTTACGGTATCCGAGAATATTTTTCGTGGTTGTTTGCGATCGCGACACTTATCCTTTATCAAAAATGTCACACCAATTGCGATCACCAAAGGATAGTATTCCTTACCAAAAACCTGGCGTTTATAAAATTGACTGCAGCTGCGGTAGTTCATATATCGGACAAACGAAGCGGACTATCGCCGAACGTGTAAGAGAACACATAGCAGCGGTCAAAAATCGTCAAGTGGAGAAGTCCGCGATTGCAGAGCACTTATTATCATCTGGATCAAACCACTGGATCGAGTTACATACACCTCATGTCCTTTCCACTGAACGACATTACTATCCAAGGATTGTTCGTGAAGCGGTTGAAATAAAAAAACACAACAATTTCAACCGGGAAAGTGGATATAAACTCTCACCAACGTGGAATCCGGTTATAAAAATGTATAAGTGTCGCGATCGCAAACAACCACGAAAAATATTCTCGGATACCGTAAGTGCAGTGTGTCGCCACCTTTACGTATAATAAAATCAAGTGGAGGGTACATCTGAAAATCAGTTAAAAACATTATTACCGGATTACCCTCAACTAAAATCAGAAGACGACACCCGCCAGTTATCCAGTCTCCTCGTGACCACGGCTGCTGTAACGTAGCCGAAACGTCGAGGTAAATTAATTGTTTTAAAAAATGCACGAACAAGACCCGATTGCATATAATTATAAATTATAAAGACTATACAGATAATTAAAGAATAAATATTTTAGTTTGATTAATTGAGTTGCCAACCCTACTGTACTCTAGAGTCACGTTCAAACAGGAACAAGCATGGCCGCCTCTGTAAAACAATATTCGGCATACAACGAGCACACGGCGGAGTACAACAACAGGAGCATGTTCGTAATTTGTGACATTGCAGCTTTTTTATTATAATTATGTAATACAATATTTATGCTAAAATTATAAAGAGTGAATATTTTATTATTTGCCTAGAACATCGATTCTTTAATGGAAACCTCGTAGAGTTCGTCTGTGCGTCAGGTAGGTTATTGAAGATCATTTAAACATGTATTTTTATGTTTTGCATAATCGATATAATGCGGTGATAAATTGAGTTCTACATAGTTGTGAGCACTCACTCCTCAGATTTAATGCCTATTATTTAAGCCATTTCTTTATAAATCGAAGAAAAAAATATGTATCTACTATTTTTCTATTTTACTAATCAGACTACTAATTAGAATTCCTTTATTTTACCCAGACATTATCCCTATTGTGTATACTGTTTGTAGTTTCTAATTATGAAATTTACTATGGACAATAAAATTGAATAATATTTATGTTATTTTTAAGATAGAGTACATAGACCCAGCTCATTTTACGACATCTCCATTTTACAATAAATTTCTAATCAATCGGAGAAAAAGATGCCCTCAACGAGCAGTAGTAAAAAAAAATTGGACGATTCAAAAATGCTTGTAATAAGCTTAATTGAAAAATTCCCGTTTAAGTGACTTAAAGCTCCGAAAGAGGACTAAGTCTAGTATCTATCAGATTTAAATTATTATACGACTAAAATAAGTCACGCCTCATTTCAACGTTTTCTGTTGTCATTGTCAATTTTCTTTTAGGGGCTAATGGTTTACTAACTACTAACTTTAGTATTATTTATATAATAAGACGGATGGCAAAAATGTTACGGAATCATGTTCAAAAAGAAATAAACACAGAAATGAATAAAGAGATTTATTTCTGGGGGAATAATAAACACGGCCCCTTGCGTCAAACAATATTCGGCATTCAGCATGCACGCGGCAGAATACAATAATAAGAACGTGTCCGCGATTTGTCGCACTGCAGCTCTTTGCTTAGGGAATTTTCAATAAACATTCTGCCTTCTTTGGCACTCAGACCGTGCATCTTCATTTTTAAACTAACTTCAAAATCGTAAAGTCGAGCGAAAGTTTTCTGTTAGTAATAAAATAATCCGACTTCGATAACAGTTTTTTTAACTAAACCACTTTTATAGTATAAAACTAAGTCGCTTTCCGCTTTTTATAGTCTGAGATGTTTTAAACTACACAAGTGTTTATATATGAGATAGTTTCCCTTCCTCATATCTCTGGGTAAAATAAAATATAAACAAGCATTCGTTGACATGATTATTGTCACTAGACGGAGTAAAGAACACATGTTAAACGGCGTTATAAGACTTTTAGAAATTCTCTTGGAATCCTGATGTTTATCCAAAAATATGAATCATATTTTCTATAAATAATATCTATACTAAACAAAGAGGAAAGATTTATAAAGTCGAAAATAATTACTTTGTTTATTATCTACCGGTACATGACTTTCTTCTTTAAGTACATTTAAATAAAGTTATAATATCAAGTACGGCTGACATTGTTTATAATATACGAAAGATTGTTTGCAAATGACACTTAACACTTATTTGAAATTTAAAATTTGATAAAACCATAAATACATGTATTTTTTTAATATTAAACAACATCACATGCATTCCAGTGATCTCAAATTAAGTAGTAAATCATCAGTATGATGAAAATCTAAAACAAATACACAGACCCGTTACAATATAGAAAAGTTCATTTTCGGCATTGACCCGACCTAAAATTGAACTCGGTCTATTATTCAGAATATTTTTTTAATGTTATATTTAAAAATTATTTTCTAAAGAAAACGAATGAAAGACATTCATTAACCACACACTTGATATGAATAGAATAAGAAGGTATATTATAAACTTTTAAATAAAAAGAAAAGAGCAATTAAAATAAGAGGCCATGTTTCTTCTACTCTAAGACTTCACATGCTTTAATTCAGGAACAGAGACGTTTCTCCATAGAAAATATTAAAAAGTTAATTGAACAGAAAATAAGATAACAGACTGTGTATTGCTTAATATCTTTTTTAATTTGCCATTTTGAACGCTTTTAAATATTTCGCTTATTATTTTATGAGATCTTGATTTTAATTAAATGTTACTCGAAAATAGGAAATTGAATTTAATATATTGTTCCTGACTGACTAAATTAACTGATTCAGGGGAGTAGTCCGCCAAGACGAAGAAAACGAAACGAAAGACACTGCTCACATTTTTTAAAGTGCTTCGTCGTTCTTTTTGACCCTAATACTTCAGTTTGGATTACACTAGAAACAAAATTTTCGGTTATGATATCAATAACAGACTTTATTAGCGTATTACGTTTCAATGAAATAGTTCTTATTTCCGTTTTATATATATAACAACAAAAATCATTAAAAATATATTTTGACCATACATCCATTTATAGATTGTAAAACGGCCAAGTCTCATGTTTTAAATAAGGTATAGAGTTTATGTAGTAAGGGCTTGTAGATTTAGGGTGTATAGAGTTAGAAGCGTCGCTCTACACGATATCTGATAGCTTTTCATTCAGTGCGAATTAATAAAAATATAAAAGTAAACCTTATTCCCAAATTTTTCAACTTGTTTTAATATCTATGATCTTTGTTATAAGCCATATATTTTTCCATTCCCAGGGGTTTCTCGGTAGTGGCGCCTGAGGTAGCAGTCCCTGGGAAAACGACTGCCGTCCTTGTTACTCTCCACGGGAGAGCTGGAGAGGAACCTCTGGATCCACTGAATGTCACCGTCAGATTGGAAACACAGGATGCTGATAATGATGTCAAACTGCTGACTACTGCTAGCCAGATGATTACAGGTAAGAATTTTTTCCTCATTGTTATTAATTAGAGGATTAGTTGATTCAACAGGTGTCGTCTCGTCATAAAATTGAGAAGGGACGAATGCTCGTTTATTTAAATGAATAACTGAATTCAGAAGATAAATATTTAGTTCAATTAGATTGATAAATTGTATTGTACGGGTATAAAATTATTAGGCTGTTGGTCAAGGCTACATCTGCCGTTGTTAACACGCACCAATTCGCACTGGGGCCTCGTGATGGGTTATACGGTGTGATCATAACGTATTTAAACTTTTTATTTCTAAAGAAACAAAACGTGACTTTAAAGTACAACATGAATGAATATTTTTTTTTATGAAAAATGTAAAGGAATTTATGACTAGTTCCCTCAATAGTTTAATTTTTCTTTGACTATTCAATAGAAAGGGGCAGATTGTATACGCACGAAAATTCGTAAAGTTTTGTTAAAATCATATCCATGAAGATAGTCGCTGCAACAAATGCAGTGTCTTTATAAATTATAGAACATGAGAATGAGTGTGGAATCATGTTCGTGTTTTGAAAACATATGAAATTCCGTTTTCAAAGAAATCGAGTAGGTTTTCTAGTGGCCTATACATAATGACCCAATATATATCGCTCACTGAATAGTACAGTGGCACAACTCAAAAACCATTATTTCGAGAAAACGCCACAACATTGTGGTGGCATCCCATATATAATTTAAAGAAAAAATAAAAAACTTCACAGTAATAATATAATACAAACGATTTAACTGTTATGCTAAAAAAAATGATTTTCATAATTATAAATATATTAAATTTTCATAACTTCGGAGAGGGTTTCTCGAAATATGGTTTTTGAGTTGTGCCACTGTACTATTCAGTGAGCGATATGTACATATAACAACGTTTGTCTGAATAGTACCTACCTATATGAGTTACATAAACAAGCATTAGGTATTATATAACAAGGTACCCTTATAATCCTGGTCACATATGTTTACTTTAAAACTTGGTTGATAAATTTTGATAGGGTGATTATTAAGTTAGTGAACTTTCAGTTCGCTATAATTACTTACGCTAATATTATGACATTTTAATATATTATTATTGTCATTTTAGTGCTTACTTTTTCTGGACCAATGAAGTTAATAGTTTTTACCACATTGGTCCAGAAAAAGTAAGCACTTTTAGACTCTTACCTAGTTTCACAAAACTCCATTAAGGTTTAATGGAAATTGATTTATGACGTTTTAAACTAATGACAATGTAATGGACATTTGTGCAAGTTTATCTAAAACTTCTTTTATAACGGCAATTTAATTACGAGTAAGATTAATAATTTAGTCTGCCTCCTTAACGCCAAAGGAGCTTGATTATATAGTAATTATATAGTATATAGTAATATAAAGTCGTTTCTCTTTATAACGATTTTTTGAAGTTGGTCTATTTTTTATTTTGTTTTTTTTTTATTTCTTTCTTTTTTTTAAATGATACAAATTATCACCGTTCCAAATGTTTATTTTTAATTTATAATAATAAATGGGGGGTTTGTCTGTATTTACACATACTTATATTTATCGGATAAACATTTTCTGTGATGGTAGCCGTCCTAACTTAATCTAATTTATTATTCTTGAAGCAACTTCTTTTTCCTTAAGCCTTTTATTCGTGGCTTAAATTTTAATTGTTTATTAATAATAATAATAATAATATAATCTTTATTGCACACATACAGACAGGAAAACAGAAAGAAATTACACAGTAAAACAATACAAGGTACACAAAAGGCGGCCTTATTGCTAAACAGCAATCTCTTCCAGGCAACCTATGGAAGGGAATAATAAAAGGAAAGGGAAAATATGGGGTATTGGGTGCAATGGTCAGAAGGATATGATAAGATATATCTTTGCATATTAAATAAAAAAGTATAAGTAAATAGTATTAACATAGAGAAAGGAAATAGCTTTCAACTCGATCGCCGAAAGAATTAAGTGAGCGAGTGTGCCTAACATCCTCCGGGAGAGAATTCCATAAACGCACAGCATGTACAGAAAAGGAATAGGAGAAGAAATCGGAACTATGACGCGGGATGTCCAAAGTGAGGTTGGATGAGGATCGCAAGGAACTCAGTGACGAAGAAGAACGAAAAGAGAAACATTGTTTGAGATAGTGTGGAGAGGAAGGTAGGAAAAGTATAGAATATAGTAACTTTAAAGTGTGTAAGTCCCTGCGCCGGCGAATAGGGAGCCAAGACAATCTGGAACGAAAATTCGACACATGGTCAAATTTACGAAGGTTAAAAATGAATCGGATACAAATATTCTGCAGACGCTCTAATTTGTTGAGAAGTTCCTCTGATAGATCCGTGTAGCAAACATCAGCGTAGTCTATGATCGGTAACAATAACGAATGAGCTAAAGAGACTTTAGTACTAGTAGGCAAAAAGTTGCGTAGTCTATTAAGTGAATAGTACGTGGCAAATACCTTTTTTCTAACGGCATCCACTTGCGGCTTCCAGGAAAGATTTTGATCGAAGATGACGCCAAGGTTTCTAACAGTTTTTGAATAGGGAATCACAATACCGTTAAAAATTACTGAAGGTAGTAACTCAGGACTAACCCTAGAAGTAAAATGAGAACTGCCAATTAGAATCACTTGAGTTTTAGAGGGGTTAACAGTAAGACCGTATGAATCACTCCAATTACTAATGCGAGACAGGTCAGAGTTTATTACTGAGACTGCCTCTGATAAGTGCGAAAAAGGCGCTTGAGTATAAATTTGAAGGTCATCTGCATATAGGTGATAGGAACAAGAAAGCAAATCAGTTATGGAATTAATAAATATAGAGAAGAGAAGAGGAGATAAGACGCCACCCTGAGGAACACCGGCTTTGATATCGCACCACGCAGAGACGGATTCGTCAATGCGGATCCTTTGCCGGCGTCCTAGCAGGTAACTTCGAAACCAGGCAATTGCAGCTGGAGATATGTTGAGAGAAGCCATTACACCGAGAAGGATGTCAAAATCAACCGTATTGAAGGCATTGCTAAAATCTAACAATGTCAACAACGTAAGCTGACGATTTTCCATACCTCGTCGAATGTCATCAGTAATTTTCACCAATGCAGTAGTAGTGCTATGGCCAGTACGAAAGCCGGATTGAAATGGATTAAGAAGGTGGTTTGGATTAAGAAAAGCCAGTAACTGACGGTTAACAAGTTTTTCAAGGACTTTGGAGAGAAATGGGAGAATGGATATGGGACGGTATTCAGAAAAAGAGGATGGGTTTGACTTTTTTGGTAGAGGAATTAGGTTTGCATCTTTCCAAGATGAAGGAAAAACTCCAGATGAGATTGAAGTATTCAGAATCTTAGTTATTATCGGGGACAGGATATGAATTAGGGGTAGGATCATTTTGCGACTAATGGAATCACTACCCACTGCACTGGAATTGATCGACAGGATAGTTCTCTCGACATCACAGTCTGCAAATTGGCGAAGGAAAAATGGAGAATCAAGAGTTGGTAGACTTGAAAGACGATGTAATGTTTCAGCCTTACGATTGCCGTCAATAGGAGCAGAAGTAGAAAAATAGCTATTAAGTTTGTTAATGTCAAGATTGGTATCGGAAATTTTATTATGAGATTTTCCAACTCCAAGAGATTTTAGGAATTTCCACACTTTCCCAGAATCTTGATTATTCACGGATTCATGAATATAGCGTCTTTGTGCGTCCCTTATCACCGTATTGCACCGATTTCTAGCGCGATTGTATTTAAGCCCATTTTCATTTGAAGAGTCAGCCCTGAATTTCGCCTTGGCCCTATTCCTCCTTCGCATCAATCCCTTAATCTCATCCGTTAACCAAGGAGCCGGCAAGCATTTGATTTTAATAGGCCGTACTGGAGCATGTATATCGTACAGATCTGTCAGGTACTTATTAAATAGTTCGACTTGTTCATCCACTGAGCTTGTGGCGGAAATTGCACTCCAATCTATCTTAGCGGCATCCTCACGCAGAAGATCCTCATCAATGCCTGTAAAACCACGCTGAAGTTGAACCGTCGGCCTCATTTTAGGAGAACGGATTTTGTATGATAAATAAACTAAATCGTGGTACGAAAAAGCATCAGCAGAATATTGACCGTGCTTAATAGCGAAAGAAGGAGAAGAGACTAATATAAGGTCAAGTAGAGATGGAGTACAGTTGGGGAAATGGTGAGTTTCCTTAGACGGAAGAATGTGTAAATTTAACGAGTTAGCTAAGGAAAGTAACTTTTTGGAGCGGAAGTCATTTTTACATAAACAGGTATTGAAATCACCCATTATTATAGTATGGGTATAAGAAGGACTAAAATTTTCAAGGAGATGTTCAAATGAATCGAAGTAATCAACTCGTAGAGAGGGGCTATAGAATACACATAAGAGAACCTTGGTATGACATAAAGAGATCTCAAGAAAGAGATGCTCGGCGCTGTTGGGGGGTGGCGGCTGGGATGATCTGCTGAGGACGGAAAATGGAATATGAGCACGTAAATAGATAGCCACCCCACCATGAGAGGAACTTACACGATCGTTACGGACCAAATTAAATCCAGGCAAAGTATAGGAAGCGGAAGATAGACAGGGATTAAGAAACGTTTCAGAAACTAGGATGGCATGGATATTCTTGCAATCAAATGATGCAAGCATGTCCGGAAAATGAGCGGGGATACTCTGTGCATTTATGTGTACAGCATTAAAATTTTTGCTAACATCAGAGAACGTGTCAGTAAGAAATTCGTTCAGAGGGCGCGTGACGCTTTGAAAGCTGGAATCAGAAGAGGAAGAAGAGGAACAGGATAAAAATATATCATCATTTAAAGATATATCCATAATATGAAATATATATATATATATAAATTGAATAATATTTAAATACAAAATTAAACATATATGTAAATACCCACAGGTTGTCAGAAAGAAGATATTTAAAATCATGTTAAATAAAAAAAAGAAAAAAAAAAAAAACAACAAATTACACATTACAATTCACATAAAAAAGGTAATAATAATAATTAGATACATTAAGGTTGTAGGTACACAAATAAAATAAAAAATAAAAAAAATGTCACTAACTGCCAGTCATTAAAAACGCAACATGTAATTTGCATTTGAAAAAGTAATTGATTGAACTCTTGAAACAATAGTGAAAGAAAAATAAAGCAAAAAGACATATTCAAGGCTGTATAAGTTAAATCCCTTGCTTATGATAGGAAACAAAAATAATGGCTAGAACGTCAAAGTGACATTATGTCAAACGAGAGAAAAATGTGATCGTGAAAATAGATATGCATTAAACAATAGAAAGAAATAAAGATATTGAATATACCTACATGTTTTGTTAAAAAAGTAAATGATACACAGAGACAAACAAGAAAAACACTGAATATAAAATACACAGATGAAGTTAATAATTGAATGAAAGGTAAGTACGAAAGACAAAACATATTTAAGTAAATTAAGACACTATTAATAGCATGTTAATATAAAAGAAAACATAAATGTACATACTATTTTCTCTTCACAGAGACTGCCCGCTTGGCTTTTATGCCACTGGTGGATGGATGAGCTTTTTTCTCCCTATTGAGAGTAATGGTGGGACCCGTAGCAGCATCTTCTGGCGCTTCCAATTTCTCAACATCGGCGAGAGAATATATGCGCTGCCGTTTGCCATTGCTGTCGATAACGTTTATACGGCCTGCACTTGTCCAACACTTTGAAACACCAAAACGTTGTCGAGCAGCAACAAATATATTATGGCGATGTTTCGTGAGAAATTCAGACATCGTGATCCCAGTGCCTTTCAAACGTGTCTTCGCCATCCACATATCATCCCGTACTGCCTCAGACTGAAATTTGATGAGCAACGGCCGCGGTTTGTTGTCCTGGACCCGACCCAACCTTGTTGCCCGGCTTATATCATTGGAAATAAGTTGCTTCGCGTTTAAGTGTTGGGCTGCTAAATCCAAGAAAACCTTGATCGGATCTTCATCTCTTGTAGCAGGGACACCATGAAGCAGCAGCATGTTACGTCGACTCCTCATCTCCAAACTATCACATTCAGTGACAAGTGAAGCAACTTGCCTCTCCAGGTTTTTAAGTGTGTCCATTACAAAGCCACGGAATGCTTCAAACTCCTCGGCCAATGATGACAGTGAAACTTGCTGCGGAGAACTTGTCTTGTTGAGTCGACTCTCAAAAGCTGCCATTCTCTCGGAGAAAGATAATGTAAGGGACTCTATAGTGCCTCTGAGGTCATTCATGTCCTAATGAATTAGTGAAGTGAAGTGAAGTAAAGTAAAGTAAAGTGATGGAAAAGGTCAAACTATTG